GCCAGGTTCTTGTTATTTTAAATTCAAAATATTTAAATGTGTTTTTACGTCTGTAAGAAATGCTAAATCCCACAACCAATAATCATCTTCAAGCTCTAAAATTGGTTTTCCCTTGTCGATCATGAACATTTCAATTTCTCCTCGTAAATCAAAAAATCGTTTTAAAATTTTTCCTCGGCTTAACCATCGAACATGACTATGGTACGCTACATCACTGTACTCAGCTACTATTTCGTGAAGAAAACTTTTAAATTGTCTATGGGTAAGACCATGAGAAATAATAAAATTAACAGATTTTGTTACAATAAACATAACATGTTCGAAACCTAAAACTTCCACAGAGAGCTTGGTGATGAATAATACAATGAATATTTTTAGGAGATTCAATATTTTTCAATTTTAAAAGTTTATTTACTCAACCAATAAAACCAATATTTTCTCCTCTCATATTTGGTGCACCGTCTGTTGTTATGCAACTTAAATTTCCCCAATCAAGCCTAAGATTTTGAAGACAAAGTTCTACTTTTTCAAATATATCAGCTCCTGTTGTTCGATCCTGTTTGGAAAGTATGTATAAATTTTCCAAAGAATCCAACTCATCTGTTACATTGAAATTAATATCAATGCCACGAATAATTATAAGCAGTTGAGCAGTGTCGGTGATATTGGTACTCTCATCCAGTGCTAGCGAAAAAGATTTGAATTCTCATGCTTTGTTCTGTAATTGTGTAACTAAGTTATTTCCTATATTTTCAACACGTCTGGTAATCGTGTTTCGTGAGTAACTTATATCTTTAAAAAGTTCTAATTTTTCAGGTATTATTTCTTTAACCACAGTTAAAATATATTTTTTTATAAAATCGCTATCACTGAAAAGTTTAGTTTCACTAGCTATTAAATTCGCTACTTTATAGCTCGCTTCTACATTTGTTTTAATCGATTTTTTTTTTTTTTTTTTATTATTTTAATAATTTACATTTTATATAAAGAATTTTTAAATTAGGTTGTACAATTTGGTTCCCTTTAAGAAGTTAATTATATTAATAATTGATTGGAGGTCAGATTGTAGAACTTCATTAAATTGATATGGAATGGAGTGTTTGGATCTTGAGTCAGCGTATTTGGAACAATCAATGATTGTATGTTTAACAGTGAACTCCACTCCACATGTATCACGTATGGGAGGGTCTTTTCTAGCCATGAGATGGTTATGTGTTACAAATGTATGCCCAATTCGAAAACGATTTAGTATAGTTTCATCTTTCTTATTTAAGCCGGGGTTTCTCCATACTTGGATATTATTTTTTATTGTGTTTAATTTGGTGTTTTGTTTTGTCCAGTGATTATGCCATTTTTGAAATAAAATCATTTTTATAAGTTTTTTTAAATCTGTATAAGTACTTAAATTTAAAATATGAGTGTCAGTAGTATGTATTTGCTATGTTCACAGCACTTTTGGGCAGGGAGATTTTAAAAGTTTAAGCGGGAATATCCGCCTTGAGCTCATTTTCGTCTCCGTGTAACACAAAAATTGGTTTTTTTTTTTTTAAAAACATATTCATGTTTTCAAAAAAATTAATTTCCATGTAATACAAATCATAATAATTTTAAAAAACATTATATAGGATGCGATCTGGTTAAAATAAAACAAATATATATATATTTATTAATATATGTTAATTTATTTAATATTTTTTTTAAAAATCTCAAAACATTATTACACAAGTTTTCTTACTTCTCTAGTAAAAGGTACATATTCTACAATGCGATCATGAATTAAAAAACAATAAGCAGTTACACCTGTAAGAGATTCTCACGCTTCGATTTCCAATTGAACATCTACTGATGAAGCCGTAGTCGAATCATTTTGTTTTGAAGTATTGTTATGGGGTACGAAATATTCTAATAATACAAGTATATATAATATAATATGTAATATTGCTAGAAGTGTTAGCAATAGTAATATAAATATATATATGTGGCCTAAATTATAATATATACGAGATAGTAGATTCATATTTCTATGAATCTTGTTTTTTAAAAACATCATAATAAATATATCAAAATAGCAGTCGTGTGACGAGGTCGTTTAAATATATTATTGCATTTTCACAAATTGCCAATTAAGAACAGAAGACATCCTGGAGATTGTTGTTTTCAAGTGTGAAAACAATTCCAAGAATTAATATAAATTAGAAAGTTGTCGACTACAACAACAAGAGACTTCTTTGTATATAAGGGAGTCCAGAGACCAACAGGGGCAGATGTACCAGAGCCACGAAGACCTGAGCAACTTCACAACACTCAACCACTTTTTGTATCAGTTACATGAACTTTATTATACGTAATAAACACATTATTGTTCTTAAGAGTTGTAAATTTCATTTAAATAACACCCTGAGTCTAGATCTGATATTGGCACGCAACAGTATCAATAATTATAATTGGTGCATTTGATAGAAAAGTAGAAGGACTTAATATCGAATTCCGAATACTTTTTTCATAGTACGATTCTTGAAACAATGTATACATATCATATAATAAGGTGAAATTATTTTTTGCAAAATCTAAATTTAAATTATCATACGGATAAGCTATCGAGTTTAAAAAAACTTTAACGTTTGTTAAATTACAATGATCAAATACACTACAATCTTTTGTTAATACATTTTTACGTCCCTTCTGCAATCCGATTATAATAAATCGAGGTTTTTCTAATTTTGAAGCAGTGTTTAAGTTCCATACAAATTTTTTAGTGGTTCCAAGTTCAGGGTATTCGTAAGTTTCAAAAGACCTGAACGGGATAAACAAACTTTTTTCTTTTTCTATAAGTTTTAATAATTTCAATCTTTCTTCGTTATCCTTCCAAACTATTTTATTCAAAACGACTTTTCCAGAATTAACACTTCCATCTTGTTCAGCTTTTGTTAAAACATTCAGATCACTATGACTTCGAGTTAATATTAGTTATAATCTAGAATTAACTAATATTTTTTTAAAGTCTTCGAACAAACCTAACCAATATTTCAGTGGAATGCAAGCACTAAATTCACCATTTGCGATTGCGGGGTTTGTATTATTTTTAAAAATCCAACCTGCATTTTCATAACAGTTATAGTTATCTGGTGTACATGATAGATAACCTTTCAACGAGCTGGTTATACCTAGTATTAGAGTACTATCTACTTCTATTCCATTGATTTCAAGTCGTATTTGTTCAAAGAGATATGAAAAACCGTTATTAGCAAGTTTTACTTCACTAGCTTCTGATATTTTACCTTCTAAAAAAATAAAACTCTCATGCAAATACGGATAAACATCTGTTTGCTGGATTGATAATCGTATTTCATCATTATTATTAAATGAAGTCGTATAAGGTGTATATGAATGATATTCAATTTTCGTAATTTTAGAATCTGTTTCAAACCTCGAACTTATATCCAAAATATCGCTTTCAGGCATTCTGTTTCAATTTATAGCTTAACGTCTTTAAAATGTTTAACGTTTAAAGACGGAAAATAATTTGTAGTCAATGTAGTATCATTCCCGGTTAAACTTAGAGTGATTGATTCATACATTGTAAAAATTTAAGACATAAATGTCCACAGTTAAATGAATTATAATTCTGATAATTTGAATAGTTATAGATGATTTTGTTTTCTTCAAAATATTTTTGTAATTCAATTGGAAGTAAATCACCAAAGCTGTCAAAGTATGTAACTTTATCCTTATTTTTATAAAACGCTACCCAATGACTTCCATCGCCTGAAGATATATCCAAGTTTAATATTTCACATTCAATTTTAAGCGGTTTTTTAGGTAAGTCGTTACGTGAAAAGATTCCACGGAAATGACTAATATTAAACTCTCCAACATATTTTATAATATCTTGAGATGAAAGTGGTCCATTAGGCAGCGTATTCATCAGTTTTTTTTTCTTAACCTATTATTCTTCAGATATAATCCACTACCATTTTTTCTTTTCGAATTTTGTATTGCATTATACACACTAGCACTTCCAGACATTAAACTACCAAGTGCTGATAATCCTGCAAAAATAGATATTAAGGGAATCGCACCTCCTGTCTGACCCGTTATCAAAATCTGCCTTTTACCACTATAATTTTTCTTAACCTTGCTTCTTTTTTTCGCTGCTAATGAACTATTTTTTTTTCTAGCTTGTTTTTGTCTACTTTTATAACCCATCCCCATTTTTTGTTTAGCCTTCATCGCATTTGTTACCAAGTAGGCGACAATTTTCTCTTTTCGAGGAGTGTCTTTAGCTTTAAATCTTTCCCAAGAACGATTTTCTAACACTTTATCAGCTTTATGTCTTTCACCTACATTTTTACTTGTCGCGTACACAAAGTCGTGATCGCGACAAGCGTTATCTAATGGGTTTATTCCTTTATCACCACGATCTATTTGCTTTTCTAATTTCGTACCAGGACCACAAAACTGATAACCAGGAATGTGAGCTTCAAACAGAAGACTATTTATAAGAGAGTTTATAAAACCTTTACTAGTCTTATTCGATTTCCACTTAAGAGTTGAACGCGTCATCAATAACTGATAATAAATTATAAATTCTAGAGTATTTATAAGAAAATGAATTTGATAGAACAGAAAGATAAATTAGATATTTTAAATGTTGATACTCAAGTAATAAAAAAATTGTCAAGACACGGTCCGTTATTACCCGACACTATACGTGCTAATAAGTTGGTCCTAGTGGTTCGGGTAAAACAAATATAATGTATAACCTAATCACACATGAAAATGGATTAAGATTTGAGAATATTTATTTATACTCTAAAACTTCTAATCAGGAAAAATATATTTTATTAAAAAAAATAATAGATGATATAAAGGGTGCTAATTTTTTTATATTCACAGACGCTGACTAAGTTATAAAACCAAATCTAACTAAAAAAAATTCTATCATTATATTCGATGATGTATCATGTAGCCTACAATCGATTATAAGAGATTATTTCAGTATGGGTAGACCTTCAGGTGCTAGATCTGTATTTTATTTAGCACAAACATATTCTAAAATTCCAAAACAATTGGTGAGAGATAACTCAAACTTTTTAATAATACTAAAACAGGATGATACAAATTTGCGTCATATATTTAATGATCATTCATCGGCAGATATGGATTTCTCAGAATTTCGGAAAATTTCTCATTTATGCTGGAATCATAATGATTACGGATTTATGGTTATCGATAAAACACGTGAAATCAATAAAAGTAGATATAGATGTGGTTTTCATACTTTCATTAAAAAATAAAATAATTATATAAATATAGTTGTAATTTAGTTAACATCTACATAATATTGTTTTAAGTCGGAGGAAACAGTTATATTAAATTATTATTTTTAATGAATAAAGAAAAAGTTTTGTTAGAAAATTTAGTGTCATCGAAAAAAAAAATCAGACGTAAAATAATGGATATGAGTTGTGGTGTTATAGATTCTGATAACTATTTTCGTGAAACATTTAAACCTTTACTCGAACCATTGAGAACATTGTCAGAAAAAAATATTCCGATTATTTCTAATAATGATGAAGAAGTTTTAAATGCTAGTGATGAAGATTACAAAAACTTATTAAATTCATCGTTTGATAATTTTTTTATTTTAAATCCTAAATCACGACGTTATGATAAATCTTATGGTATGCATTATGACTCAGTTAACGATCAACTTAAAATATCAAATATCCCTGTTACTTTTGAACATGGTAAATTACACTTACTCGATAACTACTATCCTTGGACTAAAGGACTTTGGTCTTTATTATGTGAGAAAGTATCAAAAAATATGACAATCGTACACGTACATGAGGGCTTTCTTAAATTATATCCGTGAGAATAACAACTTAGCCAAAAAAAGTGGTTATAACAAATCATGAAATTCAGGCTTATGGGGGTGAGGAGTGTAAGAGGAAACATAGCATATAAGGAGACTAGCTAACACATTGTACACAGTATACCTCATTGAGTCTACACCGTCCTCACGTCTCTTATTTTCGTACTCGAAATTTTTTCTATTTTTTTATTAAATTTATTTTAAAATAAAAAAAAAATGTCGTGTTATTCAGTTAAAAGTGATGATGAAGAAGAATGCTTTTTTACAAGTGATGTAAGTAAAAATATATATATATATATAAAATACAATATTTAAGACTTAGTTTGATTTAAATTTAAATATTTAATACTAATAATAAATAATTTTTTAAATATAAAAATTTAAAACATATCATAACATTTTTTAACAAACTAGTTATTAACTAATCGCTTACTATATTTATAGGTTGAAATTATGGAACCAGAAATTAAATCGATGACGAAATTGACCGGACAAAAAAAGGAAAGATGTGAAAAATAGAAAAACGTTAAAAAAAAAACCAAAAAAAGTGAGTAGTATAACATTTTATAAGATATTCAAAGAATAAATTTATAATTTGATTTTATAGAATATTTCATATCAAGAAACAGTTACCCAATTAATACAAAATGAAAAAATTGCAAAAGATGTTATGAATTCGATTACAATCAGACAAAGTGAAGGAGTTGTAACTATTAAATCGGTTGCTGATGAAAAATGTACTGATTATTGGACGTTGGCACATTATAAAACAAAAAACATTGAACATATTGATGCTAAAGACAGGTAATATATATATATATAAATGAATATTTTTTTTCTTTGTATTTACTTTGAAATAAAGTTAGTGTATATTAATGTAAAAATATGATAGAACACATTTATGTAATTTTAAGTGGAAACATGCAGAATGTTCATTAAAACTAGCGATAACAGACCAGTCGAAAGATCAGAATGTTTTAGGAGAGCTGAATGAAATTGTTCAAACGCTCTTTGATCGTTTTATGAAAGACCCAAAAAAAAAAAATTATACAAAACGTTTTTTCAAAATAATTTATATATATGTATGAATCATGATGACAGTAAATAAAAATAATAATAAAAAAACTTGAATTATCATTTTTTTTTATTTATTTAAATAAAAATAAAATAGTACATTTAAAAATTGAAAAAAAAAACAAAAAATATATTAAGTTTAATATAATATAATAAATATGAAAACAGTATAAAAGTAGTAATAATTATAGAATGAACATTTTTTATAAAAATTTTTAGCAAACAAAAATATGAGTATTAAATCTAAAGGTTTTAATTTTTATTACATTACCAAATCTTGCAAAATCATATTTGATAATGAATTAAAATGAAATTGCAACAACTCGTACATGAATGAAATATCATCACTTTGAATATTGCTATAACTAAAATCATAATTTTGAATATATTGGTTTGTAAATTCATTTCGTTGACAAGACGATGGTAATCCATTGACGTCGGCCTTTATCAACGCATATGCTGTATCAAATGTTTTTTGGTATGATTCCAACTTCTTTTGTTTTTCAACAATATACAAGTCGATACAATGTTGTAATTCTTTTAAACGATGTAAATCAACGTGAGATAATGTTATATAATTATTATTAGAATATAAAACAATAGTCGATTGGTTAACATTAACGGAATAGAAAAAGTTGTCAGCTATTTTAACACGTTTACATCGGGTATGTAAATTATCAATAATTGCGTTATAATTATTTTCACATATTAATGTACACCACTGATCTAACGTAATAATTTTTTTTTTAGTTAATTTACATTCTAATAATATAATAATTGAAATCTGTTTATTAATCAAAAGTCCAACTGTTACACTTTTCTTTCCAAAAGGACGGATATCGAACACTGATTTTGATACAACGACTGGTGGATTCATATTATATAACGATAAGTTCTTTGAAATTATAAAACGATTTTCAAATTAATATTTATACGATTATTAAAAAAAAAAAAAAAATGAATATAAACACTATGGAAGTATAGCTTAAACTAACAGTATTTTTTTGCTCACACATGTTATATACTAAAACTGAAGAGGTTAAAAAAGAAAAAAACAGAAAAAAATGTGAACCTATAGTTTAGTTGGATAGCGTGTCGAGGGTTATTTATCTACTTACGTATACCATTGAACCTGAAAATTAATCTTAACAAATTTAATTTAAACTAGACGCGTTATCCCACTAGACTATACGTTCACGAAGTATTAAGATAAATATTAACATATTTAAATTGTTTTTTATAAAAAACAGAAAAAAAAATATTAAATTACAGTATCATATGTCTTAAATTCACAATCACATTGACATACATCGTTAATCTTTCCGTACTTATTCATTATATTTCTTGTGTTTGAAATCAAAACGGTTACACCTCTCACGTTCCGAACCGTATATATATATATATCGTTGTCGCGATCTCCGCACTTCGTTAAACTTAAATATATATATATATATACATCGCTTGGCGATCTTAGTTTGGTATTGATCCGTATATATATATATATATCGCTGTCGCGATCTCCGCGCTTCGTTAAACTTAAATATATATATATATACATCGCTTGGCGATCTTAGTTTATTAATATAACATTACAACGCGATTTTCGTTGTGTACCGATCGGTCGACGTGTGTGAATTACAAGTGTGGTCTACTATCAGATCTTATTATCATTGTTTTGGTTGCCTGTTGTTATACCGTCGTGCTCAAGACGAAACAGCTGACCAGTGGCCTGACTGTCGCCGTCAATTGGTCACCTGCCAACGACAACATCGGCATAGGAACGGAGTCACGTAAATACTGTCATTATTTTCATATCTTGTATTTTTATATATATACAAATTGTACCACGATTGTTTAGATCGTGTTTGGTCGAATATTATTATTATTATTTCTTATTATTCTTATTATTATTATTATCACTACGACGAAAGTGATTGTGATATCTGTTAGTCTATTATCAATCATTGTATAAACAGTCAACACTTCGTCGTTGGTGATACGTTAATTTATACGTTGTCATATTATAATTGTGTAATCCATACTTTACATACAACTCGAATGTTTATATTTTGTATGGTCACCTCTCTTTAAGCAATTATCCACGGTTATTCCTAGTTCATCTTTCGGTGGTGTAGTCATCGAGGCCGACCACAGATTCGTAGGAGCCTCGTGGCTAAACACATTATATATAATATTATGTATTATGCATTTATATAAATTATATAATGACAATTATCCTCTAAACCGCCTTCGTAGCTAATGTGATGTATTAATATTGTTATAAAAAAACAAGCCCTTGCAATGTGAATGATTTATGTGTATATGTGCAAAGACAATAATGATTGAACGGATATCCGTTCAATTCACGGATATTGTGTGGTAAGTACGAATCAAAAAACGGTAATTGTTCCCGCTCACACAAGCAGGATAGTAATAACTTATAACCAGTTTGGTTATTGTTTATATTATTAATATTATTAAATTGATGTTGTTATTATTATGAATCTGTTTGCGCTCATCGTGTCAATGCTGCCAGATTTGTACAGTGTTTTCTTATATTTGTCGGATTGTGTGTGTGGAACTGGGGTTTTGTTCCTACGTTCACATTTTATTTAAAATTTGTTAGTTGGTGCTCGGTCTTGCCAATTTATGCATTCTTTTTTCGGCGCATTCAAAAACGTTTTTCGGTTTTTGTTAGTTTTGTCTGCAGCCATTATAGCCATCTTGTATTCATTTTTCCACGTGTTGATTGTTATTCGGTGAACGTCGATTGGTTTTTTGGTATATATCGTTCGGTTGCTTTCTGCTGGGCTGTTAATTATTAATATTATATTTGCAGGAAGTTCTTTTATATTTTATCGTCGTTGGTAAAATACTCGTTGTCTCAGTTGTTGTGGTTTTGTCCATTTTGTATTACATTGTTGGCTGCAGGTCCAATCTTTTATTCTTCTTTATATGTTTAGCGGTGGCTATTAAGTGTGCCAGATCAACCTATTATTTTTTATTGTAACTTATTAAGGGGATTCCACACTAACACTTTTTTGAGTAAAATAGACCTATACGCGTTCCAACGTACTAACTTGAGTTTTACTCCGATAATAATTTTGAAAACATATTTGAATTTATTATGAAGTATATTTTGAATCCTTCGAATCAGAATAGTAAAAAAAAAAATTTAAAACTATTTATCTCCATTATAATTTTTAAAAATACAAGTTTTTTTTTCTAAATTTCAAGTGAGGTTTTTTCTTTTTAAGAATAATAAATTAAAAATGTGGCTCGAAGGATTCAAAGTTGATTGAACAACAAAACAAAATTTGTTTTCAAAATTATTATCGGAGTAAAACTCAAGTCGGTATGTTGGAATTCGTTTAGGTCTATGATTTACAACATTTCGCGACGAAATAAATTTGTTGTTAGGCATAATGTGACATGTGCACGCGAGTGCGAGTGCGCAACGCTTATCTAGCTCGCCGTCGGTCGCACTATCGGAAATCTAAATATAATATAACCCGAATATTACCGATAATGATCGAAGATAATTATTGTCGCCGTCGCGCGTCGCTGACTATAATATTATAATAATATATAATATTATATTACAATATTACATGGCACACGCGCATTCACGCTCAAACCGTCACGGCGATTATCAGATATTCAGATCTTTATTCTTTAGTGCACATATAATAGTAGCATAATATACTATTATAGTTTTAAAGTTGTAGTTGCACTTAGTTTTTGTAAGTAAATAAGTGTTTGTCAAAACGAAAAAAAATGAAAGGCAATGGATTTAATTTCATAAAAAAAATAGTGGAGATATCAAACGACGGCTTAGTTGATTTGTAAGTTAATTTGTATTGAATTATTTATTTTAAGTTATGAGTGAAGCAAGTTATGTGTATCATTGTATACGAAAAACGATTCTGAACGAAGACGATTTGTCAGTCTAGGATATTTTATTTATTTATTTTATATCTAAAACCGTTTGATAGTAAATCACAATTTCACTAGTGAATTTTTAATTTAGACGCTCGTAAAAATGTTTAAATTGACTTATGCTCGATTTTTTTTATAATTATTATAATCAAAACTTATGGACAACCTTGTATTAAATTTTCAAAAAGGTTTGGCCAAAAATATTGAGAATTTTTCCCTTTTGACCCCCCGAAGGTTTTAGCCTCAAACGATTTTTGATATTTATTTTTATTCAAAAAGTATTAGCTGTAAAAATGTGATACTTCCACCGGCTGTTTAAAGTGACATTTTAATCACAGGATTTTTTTTTCAAAATATTTTGTTAATTGTTCAGCTTTATATGTCGGTTATTTTGTAGTTGAAAATTCATAATTTTTTTTTTTATTCATATGAAAATGTAATACAAGGTTGTCCATAAGTTAATTTCGTCCTCCGACACAAAAACACACATCATTGTAAAATCAATATATTCATCACTCCGTTCAGAATCTAAAAACAAATTTTGAAATTAGGTTAAAATTAACCTAGTAGCAGATCGTAAAGTGTTTGATTTTTTTTAAAAAAAATACAAAAACAGATAACATTTATCTAAATCAAACGCCAATTTATTCATAAAATTTCAAGAATATATTTTAGATTATTCATAAGCTTTATATATTTTTATCGTTATAACTAGAATCTCAAATTCAGCTTCGAATAATTCCATCCCAACTGCTGTAAAAGAAAACATCCATGGAAAATATTCAAATACGTTTACTCCAGACGATATGACATTGGCTGTACCGTTGAACAATGTACATGATGTTTCAAATTTAACTGTTGATGGAAATAATATATTCGGCACTTCTTCACCCAAAGAAAAAAGATTAATAGATTCTTCATCTTTTCTTAACTCAGATGCACATTTATCGCCAATTTATGAAAAAAGTAGTACATCATCACTCCAAAATAATAGTATGGAAATAGAAATTTGTGGAAGAAGAGTAGTAAATATATCACACTTATTTCAAGAAATCAAAAGTATTGATAACCACAAACCACTTGACTGTGGATTTAAAAATATGATATTAATTGGTGAAAGAAAGCTTGGCCTAAAATCATTTTTTAGCTTCAAATGTTGTATGTGTAATATTAAAAAAACTATATCGTCCGAAAATGAAGATCTTATGGCTATAAATACTTCGGCAGTAATAGGTACATTGAATATTGGATGTGGTTTCAGTCAATTACAAGAAATTATGTCTGCAATGGAAATAACTACTTTAAATCACAAAACGTACCAAAATGAGCATGATCGGATTTGCAAAGGATACGAAATAGCTGCGTTAAAAGCAATGGATAATGCGGCTAAAGATGAAGCAGAATTGGCTATAAAAAATGGAGAAGTAGACGCCGATGGAATGCCATTAATTACAGTTGTAGCTGATGGGAGTTGGTGTAAGAGATCGTACCGAACAATGTACAATTCACCATCTGGAATGGTAATTACAATTACATAAGTTTTACATAGAAATTAGTAATAGTATACTTTTTGACGAGGACATAAAAAAAAAATAATTGTTAATTAATTAAACAAATAATTTATTTGTATTCGTATTGTGTTTATTTGTGTAGGCAGCCATCGTTGGGTATCGAACTAAAAAAGTGTTGTTCATGGGCGTAAAGAATAAATTTTGTTCGACATGTGCCAGAACTAAAAATGGAGATAAGCCAAAAAATCATACATGTTTCAAAAACTGGAAAACGTCAGATGGATCGTCAGGAATGGAAGCATCAATAATAGTAGAAGGATTCAAAGAAAGTGAACAAGTACATGGAATACGATATCATAAATTTATTGCTGATGGAGATAGTAATGTTTATAAGCGCATTTTAGATTCACGCCCGTATTAAAATCTTACAATTCAAAAAGTTGAATGTAGAAATCATCTTTTAAGAAATTTGTGTAAAAAATTAAGAGATATGTGTCCTAAAAGAGATGCTGGAAAATTAGTTCACAGAAAGCTACTTCAAAATAATATATTACGTATAAGAATAGGTATAGTTACAGCAATTAAGTATAGAAAAGAAAATAAACATTCAGAAATAGATTTACAAAATGATATTTTAAATTGTGTCGACCACGTATTTGGTCAGCATACTAAATGTGCGGCTTATTTTTGTGAAACGGTCAATGATCCAAATATTACAAACGCTCAATGTACAAATTTCACTGAAAAAATGAAAGCTACAGATCCTAATTTTTACTCAAAAATAATGAAACATATCCGTTATTTAGCCAGGCATAGTCGTAGTTTGATTGAAAACGTCGATAGTAACGTTGTCGAGTCACTAAATGGAATTATTGCGAAATTAATAGGAGGGAAAAGGGTAAATTGTGCAATGTCTGGGTCTTATCAAGGTCGATGCTCTGCAGCGACTGTAATAAAAAATACCAAACGTCCCTTTTACACGTTGCATAAAGTTTTATTACATCGCAGTCCAAATAAAAAGTGTCCATCGTCAATATTAGAATTAAATCGCCATAAAAAACGCAACAGACAAAATGAACTGAGACAAAAAAAATATCGCAAAAAATTAAAATATGTAAATGACTCTGCAGATCCATCATACGGAAATAATGCCCAAAAACCGGATATGACTGAAAATGAGTATGAAGAAGAAAAAAAAAATTTTTTAAATAACTTAAAAATAATAGCCGATAATCGCATAAATATTGAAAGAGAAACAGTCGATCAAACAAATTCCACTAAATGGTTTGAATTAAGGAGGAATATAATTACAGCCTCAAACTTTGGAAGAATTATTGCATTACGCCCAGACACTGGATGCGAAGGAGTGTTAAAAAGTTTACTTTACTCTACAAATCTCGATACCAAAGCCCTGGAATATGGTAGGGAACATGAATATCAAGCCAAACGAGATTTAGAATTGGCTTTAGAAGTTGAAATTAACGATTGTGGATTGTTTATTGATTCAATTGATGTTTTCTTAGGAGCTACTCCTGATGGTTTAATCGGGGAAGACACTTTAGTCGAAATAAAATGTCCGTATTCAGCAGAAAATTTAGATCCCGACGAAGCAATTATTCAAAAAAAATTACTATTTGGAAAACTAACAAAAATAAAGAAATAACAGGTATAGATAGAAATCACAAATATTACTACCAAATTCAGGGACAGTTACACATTACTAAGCGAAAATATGGAATTTGTAACGAGACAATAATGCATAGTACAACAACACCATTACTACAGTCACACTCCCGCCCCTAGTGATGAACAGCGACACTACTATCCGTCGAATACTGTTCGACGGCAGTAACAAACAACTATAGATGGCGCGAATGTGCCACGACCTTTAAAACACTCAAAGTTGCTTTACAGAAAAGGGAGAAAACCTATCTTCTAGTTGAAATAATGGCAAGTTCTACCTTTTAACATATTAAGAATAACGTCTCACAAAAACTGTACACCCAATATGATTCGAAAATAACAATAAAGAAGCAAAACGACGTTGTACGGGAGGCATAATTGGCACAGATATGCTGACCAATACGTGCAGATATACCACCCGTCCGAATGATCAAGAGCAGTAGTAGTAGTGTTACGATTGTATATTCGTGGACAACCGACTATAGCAAAACGCATAGTATACGGCATCGATCCACGAATATATATATCAATAACTTTGAGTACGCCACATAGAGCGACCAGTTAATAACTGCTGTGAAGAGAAGCCGCCATTGGAAATCACGAAGCCAACCACACCACCAGTCAACAACCATCGCAGTCAGGAGCCACATCCAACGCCGAGGGACTACTGCCGATGACCAATACTTCCAGACCAACCCCGGTAGAAGTTTACCCAGTATAAGGTACGTACCACTAGTCATTCGACGTTCCCACAGACTACGTTAAAACACGTAGTAGACTGTGTGGAACAAGTCGACACTAGTACAAGTGTCATTCCCAACACCTCTGTACTAACGTTGTAAATCTAATGGTACGTACGTATTGTGGTAAGATAAATATTATCACCCAATGTATATTGAATTGTACAAAATATTTTTCATTGTAAGTTCTTTAATGAACATAATCGATATTATATTATTTTGTTGTACATTCCTGAAGGAATCTAATTTTGATATTATATGTAAATGTATCCATAATGTACAAAACCTAACCTTGAAAGTTAATAAAACAAAGAGTAATCATTAAACCATTCTAAGTTTTATTACAAATTATAGCTTGTTGGACTAGAAAAGGAATCAAGTATGAAAAAATTGAAAGAGATGATACTTTGTGGCAGACAAAAATGTTTCCTAAACTAAATGATTTTTTTTTCAATTGTTTATTACCGGAGTTAGTAGATCCAAGACACCCAAGATCTATGCCTATTCGAAATCCAAACAATATACTGGAAGCGAAACGGAGAAAGAACGAACAGAAAATGAATAAGCAAAGTAAAAAAAAAGTTTAACAATTTAAATAATTTAAAACCAAATTATTATAAATAACAAAATAACGTATCTTATTTGTATTGACATTATTATTAATATTTCTATTATAAAAATCTCAATATAAATACATAATAATATGTAAACAATATAATCTTGCATTGTACATTTTATAACAAAATATAAATAATAAATATATCTATATATTATAATCTCATGATTGAAAAAGTAGAGTGTAGGAATCACATAGTTAAAAACGTCTAATATAATATATATTTCATAACTACGTATTTTAAAAAGTTGGTAATACGTTTATAAATATAAATCAAGCTGTATTATATTAAATTTGTTGTGTGCTACATATTGGTACACATATTAAAGTAAAGAGGAGCATTAGTCAATAAGTAGGCTGTGAGCGTAAATTGAACCTTTGGCAAATTTTTGTATTTTATATTATTATTTTTTCACATTCATTTCATTTTATTATAATAAATTACTTTTGAGAGTTTATATAGTATTATAATTTATAATAAATAATACATAAATATTAATTATTGATAATTAATATGACCAATATGTAGGTAATAGCGGAATAAGTAATAACGACCGGTAATAGACTGGCACATTCAGTTTTAAATAGTCATTAGAGCGCTGGACAATAAAAATAATATTAGACGCGACACGCTGCACGTCGGGTATACGGCGGTGGAACGATAGATGGGCCGCGGTACAGGGAAGTCACTTACACTAATGATCATTTACTACACACACACATGTACGCCACAACGCACGTACTTTACAGATTGTCGGAAAATTGCCTACACTCAACTCCTTAAAAACGGTCGGTATGGAATCCCCTTAAATTTATTATACAGATCTGGCCGATCTGCATAGGCGGAGCTAGAAGGGGGCTTGGGGGAGCTAAGCCCCCCTAAGTTTTCGATTAGCCCCCCCCCAAATATTTACCGTATTTATGTACCTAATATTTTGTATTATGATTCACAAATATACTATTTAAAGGGCATTTCAACACTATTTTTTTTACGTTTAATGTTTTGATATTGTAACCAAAATAATGAAAAACGTTTATGTAAAAATCCGGAATTATAAAAAATAATTATTCAACTAGATAATGAGATATACTAGCGACGTAACGTCATAGATCTGACGAGTGAATAACCTGGTTAGTTGTGTGGAAAATTATCTTAATTTACACAATGATTTTAATAACATACAATAGTATTTAAATATATTACAGTATATATATATGCTTAGTCTATGGTGTGATTTAAAATGTAATGTATCTTGTTATCTTGTTATGTTTATAATATTAATTAAAATTCGTAAGATTATTGAGTTTGCGTCGTCTTACTCGTCTTGTCGCATAGTGCTACTCACTCATACACTATACCCATCACACAAAGACAGGGACGCAACGCAAGGCTATTTATAGTTGATACGTACACATTACCCATAAGCTATTATTATTATTATTATTATTAAACATTGCTATAAATATTGCAGATAATCAATTTATAATTGTTTATGTTTACATAATATTATTATTTAGTTTTAACTTCAGTATTATATAGTGAATACGTGACTGCGTGAGTACGTTTATATTGTTTTTAATTTCAGTATTTCACTAGTAATAATTTATAACATGAAACGTTTTGGCGATATTAGAACATTTTTCACCAATACTTCAAAAAGTATTTCAACAAATAATCAAAATGATTCAATAGAAAATCCAGAAAACAATCCCGGTAACAGTTCTTTATATTTAAATAATTCTGAAAATGAAAGTAATTGTATTGAATTTAATAAGCAAATAAGTAGTAATCCAGTAATAGATTTAGGAAGTTTAGAATCTGGCCCAAAACAGCCAATTTTATCTTATCCATTAAAAAAAATAGGCAAACAGAATCGTTCATTTTCTTGTAAATATTATGAAAAATATTTTTGGGTTGAATATAGTGTTCACCAAAACTCTATATATTGTTTTGTATGTAGACAGTTTGATAACTTAAATACATCAGAAGATATTTAAAAAAAAATTGGTTTTAATAATTGGAAAAAATTAAGTGAAAAATTAGAAAAACATTCTAACTGCAAAAGTCATTGTAGTAGCATAGAAAAATACAATCGATATAAACAATCAAAAATCCATGGTAATGTTCATACTCAACTTTCAGATCAATTTAAAACGGACATTTTAAATAATCAGGTATATATACAAAATATGATTGACATTATTTTGTACTTAGCTAGACAGGGGCTGGCCTTTAGAGTAACCTCTAAATTGTGACCAATGAAAAACAAGAAAGTTCTAACAAAGGAAATTTTTTAGAATTATGTGAACTATTTTGTAAGTTTGACAGTAATTTTAGAATAAAATATCATACATACTTATCATATACAAGCCATGATATCCAAAACGAAATTCTCAATATTATATCCAATTCAACTATAAAAGTCATAACAAATGAAATTAGAAGATGTGGAAAGTATTCATTAATATGTGATGAGGCACGTTCATTTAAAGAAGAACAATTGAGTTTGTGTGTGAGATATTGTAATGGATTTGAAGTATGTGAACGTTTTATAAAATTTATTGATTGCTCTCAGTCAAGGGATGCAGAAAGTTTGAAAAATATTATTATAAATGAACTAAAACAATTAGAAATAGCTGACATACCCATTGTTGCACAAACATATGACGGCGCTAGCGTGATGTCAGGCGCTGTAGGAGGACTACAGGCTAAGATTAGAGAAAAATATCCAACTGCTGTATACTTTCATTGTGCAGCACATAAACTAGCCTTGGTGGTTACTGACACTTGTAAACATATAAGAAGTTCAATAACTTTTTTTAATTTATTAGAAATGCTGTATATTCATTTTTCTCAACCATCCAGCCACAGTACATTTATTCAAATGCAAAAAAAATTGGGGTTAAAACTACATGAACTTACACAGCTAAGTACTACTAGATGGGCATGTAGGTACAAAAATTTCCATAACGTTAAAATTAATTATCAATCAATAATAAATGCATTAGAAGAAGAAATAAATAATAATAAAAATAAATATGCTGTTGAAGCTGTTGGTCTTTTAAAGGGAATAAAAAAAGCACAATTTATTTTTAATTTATTTGTATTTCATGACATTTTATTAACTATTGATCTATTAAGTCAAACATTACAAAAAAAGATATAACATTAGGCCAAGCAACTTCAGCAATTAATGGTGTAATACAAACTTTACAAGAAAAAAGGTCTGATAAGAATTTTAAACTATTGTGGAATGATATCACTAACTTTTCAAGAAAGTTTGGTATTTGTTTGAACTATGAAGAATTTTCAAAAAAAAAGGAAACCTGTTGAGAATCAATATTTAAAAAGTTCTCTTGTAACTTCTACAATTGGAGCTCAAGAAGAGAATTTAACAATTGAAAAATATTGGAAAATTGATGTTTATAATACAATTATTGATAATATCACTAATAGAATGAAAACTAGGTTTTCTGATGAAAGCCTAAAATTGGCAAAATCAATTGATAACTTTTTTATGCTTGATTTTGATGGTTCATTAGAATTCATTAAATATTATAGTGATAACTTAAAGATAAGAAAAGATATATTAAAAGCTGAAATGATGATTGTAAATAATTATTTAAATTCCAAAATCAAAAATTGGACTATTCAAGATTTGTTTTCAACAGTTACATTAGAACTGTATCCTAATTTATATAATTTGTTACAAGTGGCACTAAGTATACCAGTAAGCTCAGCTTCATGTGAGCGATCCTTCTCAGCTATGAGAAGGATTAAAAATTGGTTAAGGACTACTATGATTCAAAATCGATTTAGCAATTTGGCAATAATACACATAGAAAATGAATTAGTAAAGACATCAATTGAATCAAAACAGATTCTTGAAGACTTTGCCAAATGTGATCAAGAAGAATTCAATTAACAATTTAACATTTTAAAGTAATTTATGGTCCATTACTCATTTATATTTATTTTTTAAATTCTTATTTTATTATGATCAAAATTGGAATCTTTTTTTTTTTAAATCTAAAATGTATAATATTATTTAATAAAACAGTTATTTCTTTTACATAAGTTATTTTTTTTTATTTTACTGTTTATTTTTGTATTTGTAGTAATGTTGAAATACTCTGCAATACATCAATAAATTGTAGTTTATTTGTTCATATTTATATTGATATATAATTAATTGCAACACACTGAACACTGAATGGTTTTTATTTTTAAAATTTATTTTTTTTGTTTTTAAAAACAAATACAAGGTATATTTAAGCAAATAGAAAGTTATTAATAATTATTTTTTTTAAATAATCTAGGGCTTGAGCCCCCTCAACTAAATTTATCAAGCTCCGCCTATGCCGATCTGGGCACTAAATAGCAACATACTCATACCTAAGATACGTGGTGCACCACATGGTTTTGTTATAATGGCCGTCTGAGGCATAAAATGTTATTTATTATTATTATATGTGTTAAAAGAGCATTTAAGGCATACATACTAGTATTATCATACTTATTGCCACACTTTATTACCTATTAATTTTTATATTATATTGTTACTAATATTACACTTTTTATATTTACTGGACCTTTAAGTCATCATATTGTTTTTGAATTTTATATTTTTTTTT